AACAAAGTCTGAGTATTTTTACAAAAATTGACAGTACTTCAACGTCAATACAGATAGTTTATTATTTTCTATTTATGTGTCTGGGCAAAGAAAATACAGGCCAGACTCACTGAAAAGAAGTAGATAACCTTCAGGTGTAACTTCATTCTGTAAAACCACTTATATGATGTATTTTAAATTTATATGCAAATAGGTTTATGAAAAGTGATGTAGAACAGTATCTGTTTTTGTAAAAGCAGCCACAGCCAACACTGACAACCCTGTGTGAAGTGCGGGAGCTGCAGTCTTACACGTATTCAGCGATATTCCATTATAGTAATCATGTAAATTCCAAAAAGAAAATCCTGTGGGAATCACATCAGTGAAGGTAAATATATATTCTAATAATACATCTGCTCTAGTAATCTACATAGTTTTCCAGATACTTGTGCTAATGCATGGAAATCTTAGTTTGCATTGTGACTAGATTTATTTCTTGGAAGTGTTTTATCAGAGATAGTCATAGTACTTGCTGTGAAAGCAACTTCAAAGAGCAAAAAGAAAAAAAATCTCTATTTTTAGCAGTATAAAAACTAGAGCTAAAAGAGATTATATGATCTGATCTATCCAAGGACAGAAGTAGAATTTGGCAAAGTCATGATTTGAACTCAGTTATACTCCTTACTCTCACTATCTCAGAATTTTGAAATTATTGCTAGTTTAATATTAGTAACCAAATTATCTAGAAGTATATCTTTTCTATAAATGCTGAATCACCTCTATATTTTTTCTTATTGAAACCTGTTATCCAAAGAGGTTTTTTAAAAATAAATACCAAAATGTGTCTCATATCGCCACAAATTCCACATCCCATTCAATATAATCTTATATTTCCAGTGAACATAACTAAATATCCATTAGATATTTGCATGGCATTGTGAGGCTATTGCATGGTCTTGGCCCTTAAATGAGAGGGGATGTTGGAAACTATACCCAATAATTAAAAACACAAGGCATCACAAGATGTGTCAAATGAGATATCCTTTTTTTAAGTGAGGTGATTAAGAAGGAATTTGTAGAGGTAATGGGATTGTGGCTAGGCTCTGAAGATTAGACACAATTCCAAAAATCAAAACTTTAAAGGAACGCATTTTTAATAGGAAGAAAACATATGAAGATACAGAAATAGGTGTGATTGCCATCCACCCATCTACCCAGCTATCCATCTTTCATTTATCAGACTTCAAGTAAGAATCTATAAACAAAGTCCTTGCCCTCAAGAACTTGTAGAGAAATGCATACAAATGATTATATTTCAACATAACAAATGTGCTACAATAAAACTTTCTAACTGAGTGCCCCTTAATCAACTACATTTAACTAATTCATAGGATTAACCATTTTCCATTCTCTCTATAACCCACAGGATAGTTTAAGCATAAGTGGGTGCTTTTCAAAATACTAATGTGCTTCTGTTTCACCCAGTCATGTTATATGCTTACCAAAAGTTAATTTTGTTCTTACACTTGTTTATACCAATTGTATTTGTCATTGACATTATGCCTATTACATAAAGCAATGCAATATGAGAAAGAATGAGAGATGTTTCTAAGAAAATTAAGTGAAAAGGTTTGGTAGAATTCCATAGAGGCTAATAATCATTAACCACTTCTGTCAAAGCATGTGTAGGTGAAATAAATGCAAAATTTTGGTGGTGGCCAGGAGGGTCATACAAACTAAAACTAGATGGATTCTTGCATTCAAGTTGCTTTGCAAGAATCTTTAAGTTCATGCTCAATTGTAAAGAAGCTGAAACTAACATGTAATATGGTTGTGGCTGATGCAAGAAAGACTACCTAGAGTTCCAACCTCATACTCAAAGGCTTTGGCCCTACATAAAAAGACAGATGAATTGTAAGCTTACGTGTTCTAAGTTATAGTAAAGGGTTCTTTAAGTAAATCATTTGTTTACAGTTCTCCATTTTAATTGCCTTTTTGATAAAGTAGGAACTGTTTGAAAATTCAGGAAGGGCTTCACAGAGGAGAAAGTCCTTGAGCAGAGACTTGATGGACAAGTGTGCCACAGGGAAAAGGCACAAAAAGGCATTTCATCAAGGGAAAGCGTTGAGATGTGTTCAGGAGAATCACATGTACAGCACATACTTGGAACATTGGTGCATTTGGTAATGCGGAGTTAGGTTGAAGCTAGATTGTGAAGGGCCCTAAATGCTGGGCAGAGGAATTTGGACTCCATTGTTGGAAGTAATGGGAAGCTGCTGAAGGTTTCTCATCATGACACAGGGCAGTGTGCTCTATGGAGATAATAGCTTAGGAAAGATTCATTTGTCTGTACTATTAAAGGTGGAAGGAGTAGAGAGGAGGACAGGAAACTACTGGCAAAGATGAGAAGGAATGCTCTAAGGCAGCAGTTCTCAACCTTTCACAGGGGTCACCTAAGACCATCGGAAAACACGTATTTTCGATGGTCTTAGGAACCAAGACACAGCTCCTCTATCCGTCTCCAGGCCCACATGCAGATACGCCCACATATGAGTACCCGGCGACCCCTGTGAAAGGGTCGTTCCACTCCCAAAGGGGTCGCAACACACAGGTTGAGAACCGCTGCTCTAAGTGGTGGCAGGCAAAGGCAATAGGGAGGGAAAGGAGGAATGCAAGTGATACGGTAAAGGAGGAATCACTAAAATGGCAAATGATTAGATGTAGGATTAGTGGAAGAGGGACTGGTCAAAAACTTCCAAGGCTTTGAACCTG